TACCTATCTATCTATCTATCTATCTATCTATCTAGCTAGCTAGCTACATAGCTACCTACCTAACTACCTAGCTACCTAGTTACCTAGCTAGCTATCTCTATTATCCATTCATCCAGTACCTGTGTTTCTGCTCTATCATCTCAAAAATCGACATATCTAGAGGATATGAGTAAGAAATAAAAATGCCTGCTCAGAGGGAAGGTTGATCAAAGGCTGGTGGAATTAATAACATTGACTCTCTTCTCGTATCTTTCAAAGCTACTGAATTTAACAATTTCTTTTACCTGCTGCACTAATCACAAAGACTGTGAGTTGGTCTTATTTTCCTCCTCCAAGAACAATTCAAAAACAGTAATAAGCCAGGAAAAAATAATCAGTCAGGAGGAATAGACCAAAAGAAGGGAGAAAAAAATCAGTCTACCGCAAATACTGCCTTCCTGGCAGGTGTGTACTCCCTCTAAATGCAATTCGCTTTCATTTTTAGCATTAATCTAACTGAAATAATGTTCTTTTAAATACTTCAGAACCGTAGGAGGGAAGATTTAAAGCAAATGTTGATGAACAATAAAGCTGCTGTACAGGAAGAATGCAATATGCATTTATACCCACATTTAAAAAAAAAAAAGACCTGAACATCTACCAGAGCAAATGGGAGCAGATGTGGATTAAAAAAAAAAAAAAATGAAACGATAAAGGGAACTTTTCCAGTACTGGTTAATTTTTAAAAGCTCAGAGTGCTTACAGCATCACCAGGCTGTTTGCATAAGACAGGGGTCTTCAAACTGGCCTTTTTATGACTTGTAGACTTCAACTCCCAGAATTCCTCAGCCAGCGTGCCTGGCCAGGCACACTGGCTGAGGAATTCTGGGAGTTGAAGTCCACAAGTCATAAAAGGGCCAAGTTTGAAGTCCCCTGGCATAAGACTTCATCTCTTCTTTATCGCTTTCTGGACTGAGCGATCAAGGGATATCATTTCATCTCATATCCCAGGAAAATCTAAAAATGAATCGTCTAATCCACAAAGAGGAGTAAAGCTACAACAAGTATGCCAGGGTTTTTGTAAAAGATGAAAAGAACTTACAAAAAACGTTATGTCTTTTTTTTTTTTTTTTAAAGATTGCATCTACTTGTATGTTTCAAGACAAATAAACTGGGCACCGGTTCCAATGAATGAATGAATAACAAACAAATGAACAAATGTATGTATTGTGTATGTACGAACACACACATATGGAAGACCAATGGTAGTGGGTTGCACCTGTGACTGGAATTCTCCCACCGTAGATTCATCTGAGCTTAAACTGTCAAACCCATTCCTAGAAGAATCTTTCCATCTCTATCCAGTTCTTATAATATTTTCCCAAGCACAGAACTTCTATTAAACCTAAATTGTGACCCCTCAAAAATCTTGGGTTAAAGAATTCAAATGCCCCTTGAACTGTTTTCTGTCCCAATTGGATTCTTATCTCAATTAATTATTTCCATGCTGCCAAAAATAAGGGAAAAATGATTTACAGGGAAGAGAATGGAAGAGAGAGAGAAGAGGAGATGGGAGAGAAAGAGAAAGGAAGGGAAGAGGAGAGGAGAGGAGAAGAGAAGAGAAGAGAGACAAAGGGAACTGAAGAGAAGAGAAGAGAAGAGAGACAAAGGGAACTGAAGAGAGAAATAGAAGATAGGGAAGAAGGGGGGAAGGAAAGGGAAGAAAAGGGAGAGAAAAAGAAAAAGGGAAATTAAAAGAGAATTATACAACACATTGTGGGAAGTCAGCTCCCCAGAGAAGGAAATAGTAAAAGGGCAGAAAAATATATTTCCTCAAAAGGATTTTTAAAAGCAGAAACCAACCCTGCCCCCAAGTCTCTCTGTCCCAAGCAGGAACCAGCTCTATACAAATGCAGATGTAAACCACCAGAAAGGCCCCAGCTAGGAGATCAAGAAGACAAAGAAACCTAAAATCTGCATACCCCACCCAAACTCTAGGAGTTAGTAGCCTCATCACCAGGGCAGCAGGATATGATAATAGGACTAACCCATCACCATAAAGAATACCAGAGAGGCACACCTAAACTCAGGTCAGAATATGTGACACAGGAAATAGCCTCAAAGTTCATGCCACAGGAACAGGAAACTATTCCAAACAAAAGGCTAGAGAGGGTATAAAAACCTACTACCCGTGTGCTCAGCCCTTCTTTTTCTCTGGTCTTTCCTGCAAGAACCATCTTTCTGGCTCTTCAATAAACTGCAACCTTCTTCCCAAAGCAGTCGCCATGTTGTTTATTTATCCCCGGCTTGGATGAACCAGGATGAAGACTTTAATCCACCAACATACATGACCAAGGTGAGCATATTGGTGATACACAAACCAGGAGCTCTTTTCTATGCTTGTAGTGTCAATATTGACAAATCTGGTCTCCTGGCTGCTGTTTGAAGAAGTAGGATCCACTAACAAGACGACACGGTTGAGCGTTCTACTTATCTCTTTTACCTCTAGAAACGTGGGTGAGAAGCAAAGAGCCCCAGAGTAATATTGTGCTCAGTGCACCTCCCTCCATTTTCCAGGACAGCTTTGTCTTGTGTCAAACAAGAAGACCTGACTGGTCTTCAACAATCTCAGAAATGACGCATTTCAAGGACAGCTGAGCAAGCCTTGCAAGATCTACCATGAAGGGCATTTTGAATGAGGAAGAGTCTTAATTTCCATTCAGCTACTAATTGGGGGTGATTCCCCCCCCCCTTTTTTCCAGGGGATATGCAATTACTGCTTCAGAGGAGAGAAACAGAGCCTTGGGGATGAGGGAGATAAGACTTTAAGGCAGGGGGCAGATTTTTTTCCCCCCTAAACTATTTGCCAGCCAGACTGAAAACTTGCAAAGAAGGTTTGCAAAAGTAGCAATTGCCTTCTAGCTTGTTAGAACGGTGACTTTAAAAGCCAGCCTAAGCCTTGACAGCCGATGGAGAGCAATCCAATTTCTATGCGTCGTGCACGGGGTCCCCGTGATCCAACAAACGCTCGCACTGGGATCAATTTATTTTCAGGTGGCATCAGATTCTTGCCTGTTTTTACTGCTATAGAAAAACATTGCAAAGCCCTGTGGATTGCAACAAAACCCGACAGGTCACTTTAAAAGAAAAACAAAAGCTGCAGCCAACCCTGGCACTCATTTTTCAAAGGTTTGCTTCTGGACTGAAAGAGAGAGCAGAGCAAAAGTGGAGGGGATATCAAAAGAAACAGGATGCTGGAAATTTTACTTCTCTCCTAATCAGTTGTCACACAGAGGGGAATGGGAGAAAAACATAAATAAAATGCGTGACTTGGGGACACAGTAGAAATCAAAGTATCTGCACTGGCATTATTAACTCTTAATATTTGTATACTACTAACAGTCTCCTTTCAGACTCAGAAAGGGGAGGCGGTAGCCTAGTGGTTAAGATGCTGGGCTTGTCAAACAGAAGATCAGATGTTCGAGACCCAAGTACTTGAGGGGATGAGCTCCCGTTCCTGCCTCAGCTCCTGCCAACTAGCAGTCTGAAAACACGAAAATGCAAGTAGATAAATAGGTACCATTTTGGTGGGATGTGCCTTGGTGTATAGTTAGGGTTAGGGTTAGGGCCACATGACCATGGAAGAGTCTTCAGACAACGCTGGTTCTCTTGGTTAAGAAACTGAGATGAGCATATTCAAATTAATACATTTCTAAATAAAATTCAATCAATCAATAAAATTATCAATAACATTTTACCTAAACAAGTCCAAATCCTGTATTTAAGCTTTACTAGATTCTGATTACCATAGTCCAATTTAGTCTTAAATAAACATGTTGCTTACACTTCGGGTATCCCCTAATTTTCCTCTTTTCATAACATAATAATTATAATGTCTAAAATAAGCATATTATTCCAACAGTTACATTCTTACATTTCCTAAATATATTCCATTTCTTATTCTAATAACTCCTCATTTACTAATACCATGTCTCTCATTGTCACAATCCATTTTCTTGTTCTCGTTCCATTATAAAGTGGTTGACATACCTAAAATAAATATATTATTCCAAGAAGTAGAGTCTTACTCTGTTTCACATATATATTCTATTTCTTATCCTAGAAGCTCCTCATTTAAAACCTTTTTCATGTTACAATTCCAAACTAAAATCTGACCAGTGGTTTTCATCTCGGTTGTAGATCTAAATCTTAAACATTAAATCAGTCCGTATCTCTATAATGCTATATTAATTGAGGGAAACACAGAGAGAACTTTTAAGGAATTAACCTGAGCTATATATATGTATGACTTTGTTTTTGGATAATTAATTACTCCATCTCCACGTTGTTTCCTAAGCACTCTGATGTAAAAATTGAAAAACCAATAAAACTTGTTTAAAAAAAGAAAAGAAAGAAACTGAGATGAGAACTGTCCCCTAGAGTTGGACATGACTGGACAGGGAAATCCTTTACTTTTACCTTAATTATGTAAACCCATTCACAACTATCAACCATACCCAGCGAATGGGATCCAGTGAATCCCAAAGTTTCCATGAATATGTTTTGAAGGTAGCAAGACATGGCTCCTCAAGACATGGCTTTTCCAGCAAGCGGGCCTGACCTAGGGAGGATTTTAGGTAGGGATGATTTTAAGAAAATTTTAATTGACACACAGCTTCTAATATTTGGCTTTTAATTTGGTTTTATGGGGTTTTTTTGTTCTTTATGTATTTTGTTTGTCTGTTTTAATATGCTGTGCACCGCCCTGAGTCCTACGGGAGAAGGGCGGTATAGAAATTAAATTATTAAATTAAATTAAATTAAATTAAGAAAGTTGTAAGATGGTGGAACTAACTAAAAGCAAAAGGTTCATATAATTATATATGCTGATAGGTTGGGGGGAGGAGGAGGAGGAGGAGGAGGAGGAGAATACCCCATCGGCTTCAATATAAATCTTCAAAAATTCAACATTCTGTTGCCATTCCTATTTGTAAGTCAATGTTCTACTATTCTGCACCTACCAGTGAGGTCATGGTTGGGCCAGGATCCCAGCTCACAGGCCCTGCATGTGTATTCATCAAAGACAAACTCATTCTCTTTGCATGGCGTGCAGGTCCAACAGCAACTGACTTCTCCCTTGCGGATAACCTGAAAAGAACACACAGCAAACCTATTTTTAAATTCCTTATGTTTTCTAAAGCTTAGGATTTGTTATCTTTTTTTTTTAAATCGGCTCTGCTTTTGTGCTATTTTATGACACCCATCCATTTTTTACAAAAAGCACCGAAGTTGTTCACGATCCCTTTTGGGTGAGTGGTTTAGAGATCCTGGCCCATTTTATAAAGGAGTTTTCAAGTTTGGTCCACGTTGGGCTGAGTTTTGCACCCCAACTCATTCAGGATGTTTTGCTCATCACGGTCATTGACAATGATAGTTCTTTAAAATCTACAGGTCAGTTCTTACCTTGCGGTTGGGAGAGAGAAGGGACATTCTGCTGAATTTCAAATTTGCCATTTAATTTATTTATTTATGGGTTATTTACGTATCAAACAAATTTATAGAGCTGCCCAACACACATACAATGATACTGATGGAAGAGAATATTTATAGTTCAGGGATGAACTGTGGAGTTCTTGGTGCTTTCTGAGCTTGGTTGGGGGTGTTTTTTTTTTGCAGATGTTTCATTACCAAACTAGGTAACATCATCAGGGCTAGTGCTGATGATGTTGCCTAGTTGGGTAACGAAACATCTGCAGGAAGACAACCAAGCTCAGAACACCAAGGACTTCACATACAATGATTCCAGACCATTTCCATGTATATGTTAGTCACAAGACTAAGACTCTCTCTGAAAGTTTGTGAGTTTAACCTGGAAAACAATTAATGTTGTCATCACTGTCTCTGAATCAGAATCTGCCAGGAACCGTGGTCAATTTGCTTCCAGGTCCAATTCAAAGGGTTGCTTATGACCTTGTGGGAAGTCAGACCCCCCACACCCCAGAGAAGGAAATATTAAAAGGACAGGAAAATATATTTCCTCAAAGGATCTTAAAGAGGCAGAAAAACATGCCCAGTTTTTCTTAATAGCCCCAAGTCTCCCTTCCCCAAGCAGAAACCAGCTCTGTAGAAATGCCGATGTAATAATCCATTCAGGAAGGTCGAAGCTAGAAGCTTAGGAAGACAAAGTCATCTAAAATCTACATACCCCATCCAAACTCTAAGACAGGACATAATAGCATTAACCCACAGATGCCAAAGGGCACACCCAGACTCAGGTCAGAATACATGACACAGGAAATAGCCTCAAACAGGAATAGGAAACAACTCCAAACAAAAGGCTCCAGAGGGTATAAAAACCCACTCCCTACATGTGCGCTCTCTCTCTTCTGCCAGAGCCAACTTTCTGTCTGGCTCTCCTCTTCAATAAACTGCAACCTTCTTTCTAAAGCAGTCGCCATGTTTATTCCCAGCTTGGACTGAACCACGATGAAGACTTTTCTTTCAACAACCTTTAAAGGCTTACATAGAATGGGGCCAGGTTACCTATGGAACCGTTTTCGCCTCATCACCTCAGCCCATTCCACTGAGGCAGGCAGGGAAGGAAGGTATTTTGCAGACCCTAACAGTCAAATAATTCTGATTGGGGGGGTCTAGGAAGAGACCCTTTTCTGCTGTTGTCGCTGCCCTGTGGAACATTCTTCCCCCCTCCCCTGGTGTGAGGCAGACCCCTGTTCTCCTGGCCTTCTGGAAAGCTGTGAAAATATAGCTCTGCAGCCTTACTTGGGGTACACAAAGGAGCACCTAGCTGCAGGGCTGGCTAGCACTCAGAGAGCCCCCCCATCTTTTATTATTTAATAATAACAACAACAACTGGTGGGACCATAAAATAGAGAAAGTCATTGAAATTGAAGAAGTTAAATTGCTCTGGGAGTTTAGAATTCAAACAGACAGGCACCGGCTACATAACACCCCGGACTTAACAATTGTCGATAAGAAAGACAAAAAAGTCTGGAGAGTGGACGTGGCAGTGCCTGGAGACAGCAGAATAAAAGAGAAAGAGTTGGAGAAGATAACAAAATATAAAGACCTACAAATAGAAATAGAACGACTGTGGCAAAGGCAAGCAAGGGTAGTGCCAATAGTAATAGGAGCCTGGGGTGCAATCCCAAAACAACTGGAGCACCACTGGAACACCATTGGCATTGACAAATTTGCCATCAGTCAATTGCAAAAGGCGGTCTTACTAGGAACTGCTTCCATCCTGCGACGATATCTGTAATACCATCAAACATCCACATCTGCCTATCCCAGGTCCTGGGTAAGGACTCAATAGGTAGACAAAATGCCAAATTCAGTCTGAACATCTGTGCGATTAATAATTAATAATAATAATAATAATAATAATAATAATAATAATAATAATAATAATAATAATAATAATAATAATAATAATAATAATAATAAAAAATTTATTTGCCACCTATTGTGCCACGGGGCTACTGTGGGTGGCAAGTTAATTAACTAATTAACTTTTAACATTGCTTGCCTCTTTTAAATTTTTTCATAGGGTTTTATGTTTTTAATACTTTATTGTACACCACCCAGAGTCTCTCTGTGAGGCAGATGGGCGGTTTGAAAACTTTGATAAAGAAATAAATAAAAATAATTGTGTGTGCATGTGTGGGAGGCTCTGTAGTGTTGGCCTAGGCAACTGGGATCGGTTGGATCAGCAATTCCAAACCACGTAGATTCACCTTAATCTCTCCTTTTTCACAAGGGTCACTGCACACAGATCTGATGACCAAACTTTTCTTTGCCCAAATTTCATCGTCGGCCATCTTCAGCTCACCGTTGTCCCAACTTCCGACGTTGATGTAATCGTATTGATCCTTCCTCATTTTCTTAAAGTTCATGATCTCATACCTTTCCAACAAAAAAGAGAAACCACTCCATTGAACTTAAATCCATGAGCGTCTCCATGAGAAAAGAGGCACAAAATAAGGTCACAGCTAACCAACAGCATTTTTTCATCGGCCTGTTAAATTCAGACTGAATTGAAATCAATAGGATTAATGTTAGATATGACTGTTAAATTAAGGTTAGATGTGACTGTAAAAGTCACATCTAACATTAATTCTATTGATTTTTAATTCAATCCAGAATGTGAATACAAGTTACATATCGTAGTGTATTTATAAGATTGGATGTTGAAATATTCCAAATAACATCTAAATTCAGTCACAGCTTTGTTCCATATAGTATCAACCTTGCGAACTTTCAAGTTTCCTCTTTCCACTATGTATTCAAACTGGACAGTGATTAGTATATGAATGATGATGATGATGATGATGATGATGATGATGATGATGATGGAAGGGACCTTGGAGGTCATCTAGTCCAACCCCCTGCTCAGGCAGAAAACCCTATACCATTTCAGACAAATGGCTATCCAGTCTCTTCTTAAAAACTTCCAGTGTTGGAGCATTCACCGCTTCTGGAGGCAGGTTGTTCCACTGGTTAATTGTTCTAACTGTCAGGAAGTTTCTCCTTAGTTCTAGGTTGCTTCTCTCCTTGATTAGTTTCCATCCGTTGCTTCTTGTCCTGCCTTCAGGCGCTTTGGAGAATAGCTTCACTCCCTCTTTTTTGTGGCAACCCCTGAGATATTGGAACACTGCTATCATGTCACCCCTTGTCCTTCTCTTCAATAGAATAGAATAGAATAGAATAGAATAGAATAGAATAGAATAGAATAGAATAGAATAGAATAGAATAGAATAGAATAGAATAGAATAGAGCTGGAAGGGACCTTGGAGGTCTTCTAGTCCAGGCCCCTGCTCAAGCAGGAGAACCTATACCATCTCAGACAAGTGACTATCCAGTCTCTTCTTAAAAACCTCTAGTGATGGAGTGCCCACAATTTCTGAAGGCAAGCTGTTCCACTGGTTAAGTATGTACTGTATGTATGTGTGTATGTGTATATAAGTATATAACATATGTATATAGTTATACACATATATAACATATATATATATATATTCTTTTGAGAGAGAACAGAATTTCATTTTCAATGTGTGCCAGGGTATTCACCATAAAAAATGACAATAAAGGTTATCTTATCTATCTTATTTTATTAAAGAAATTGAGTACAGGTAGTCCTATGACCACAACTGAACCCAAAATTTCTCTTGCTAAGTGAGACATTTGTTAAGTGAGTTTTGCCTCATTTCACGGCCTTTCTTGTAACAGCTGTTAAGTGAATCAGTGCCATTATTAAGTTAGTAACATGGTTGTTAAGGGCATCTGGTTTCCCCATTGAGTTGGCTTGTCAGAAGGTCACACAAGGTGATCGCATGACCCCAGGGATACTGCAACCGTCATAAATAGGAGCCAGTTGCCAAGACTCTGAATTTTGATCACGTGATCATGGGGATGCCACAATGGTCATAAGTGTGAAAAATGGTCATAAGTCACTTTTTTCATAAGTCACTTTTTTAAATGAACGGTTGTAAGTTGAGGAGTAACTGTAAGTAACAAGCCAAGGCATTTTGTGTTTTCTTGATGGTGAAATATATACAGTACCTTCCTGGTGAGTCTCCATTTTCATCAAAGGAGATCATATCTCCAGAAACCCCAGTGAAATTGGCCTTCATCAGTGAATCAAGGAGTTTCCGTCCATCAATCGGCTTCATGGCATCACAAAGACCCGCATAGCCTGGGCACAGTGCCATTTGCATGTTGTGGAGGCCATAGGCCATGGAGTATATCGCATTAATCACAAACCCCATCTTGGAATCTTGCACGTGTTGTGCTTGTAAGGTCAGGTTACCTGTGAAGAGAAGAACAGATAACGATGGCTGCCATTTTCAGATGAACAAAAATATACTTTATTCCTTGTCTGCTTGCTGTAAGTTTTTCCCCTTTCTCTCTCTCTCTTGGCACCCTAGGGGAAATGAAAGCATCTGTATTTAGGCAACACTGCCGTTCTCTTGCACACCAGGTCTGACTCTCAACGGGGCCAGCAAGTAGTTATTTTCATGGAAGCCAACCCACCCGTTCTTTCGGTAAGTGGCTTCCAACCAATCGGGGTCTGGCATCTCAACAAAGATCCTCGCTAAAAAGAACAGTTGGAAGAAAGTGTTCCCTGGCATGTGAGCTGTGAAAAACCAAGAAATTTCCCTACCACCAAAACTATTGTCATGACGACGAAATAGTGTGAGATTGCTGAAGTGGCCTGCCAATGTCAAAGCATGTGTTTGCAAAGCCTCCCCTGTGTTGTGGCTTGAAAGATGTTGGGTAGAAACCATTTTCTGTTCAAAACAGTGGGGACCACTGAGTACAGAAGGGCCTTGTAGGGACAACGGCCATTGTAAATAATTCCAAGTGGGGCTCTTACTTACACCTTCCGCTGGACGTTCATGAATGCTATTTGTCTGGAAAGGAAAAGCATTCTGTGGTGTTTTGCTAAGGAAACTATTCATGGCCTACAGTCATTTCCTCCCCTCCCCAATGGGAAAACCCACTTTATATAACCCTAGATTATCCTATGTAATATTCTTATGCACGTCTACTATTCTATTAACAGATATGCTCTTCTTCTTGCTTTGTTATCATATAGCAATAGCAATAGCACTTAGACTTATACACCGCTTCACAGTGCTTTACAGCCCTCTCTAGGCGGTTTACAGAGTCAGCCTATTGCTCCCAACAATCTGGGTCCTCATTTTATCGACCTGGGAAGGATGGAAGGCTGAGTCAACCTGGAGCAGGTGAGAATCGAACTGCCAAACTGCTGGCAGCTGGCAGTCAGCAGACGTAGCCTGCAGTACTGCACTCTAACCACTGTGTCACCATGGCTCATATAGTTCTCAGTTCCTGTCATGTTTTCAAGGTCAGCTTTCTTTCTGGGTTCTTCAGAGCTTAGAGCTTAGAATGGGAAGGTCTCCTCCTCCTCCTCCTCCTCCTCCTCCTCCTCCTCCTCCTCCTCCTCCTCTTTCTGACGTAGGATTTTTAAAAAAAATTCATTTGTGCAAATAGGAATCAAAGCCGTTATTTCACTACGAACGAGGAGGATAGCAGTTCCAAAGTTGCACGTACACAAAAGCGTTAAGACGGGTAACCTAAATCTAACACAGCAAGGAATCCCCGGTCGTGAAGTTTTGATGAAGAAAAACAAGGAAGTTTTTAGAGCAGCGTTCCTTGGAAAAAAAGAAATGGGAACTAAAGGGTGTGAGTGAACGAAGTAGAATCGCATGGAAACAGAGAGAGAAAAATTACCTTCTCAGAAATTCCAGTTCAGCTCAGATTTAAAGTCTAACCTCCCACTGGCTCACGGGATGCAGAGCAGAGGCAGATGATCCCTGGCTTCCAGTGGTCCTCATGCAGATAGCTACTGATGTCTTCTCCTCCCACGCTTTCTGGCAGCCCACCAAACAGCTAGGAGCAAGTTGCCAGGAAGTCCTCCTTCCCCATGGCCTTCAGCAGCTTGCCAAACAGCTGCTAATGGGCTAGGCTGTTTCAGATCTCTGGGTTTCTGCTATTACTTGCATCAAAATCCAACCAGTGATCTTCAGTAGTATCCTAGAGCTATGGGGGGGGGGGGCATTTAAGTAATTGAGTCTCTACCCCCTGCTCAGTGCAGAAATTAAAGCATCCCCAACAGATGGCTCTGAGCAGCACGATCACTGAGGAGTGAAATGATGGAATACACACAGCCTCTGCCATTTTGCTCAGGATTCGTGCTTTCCTTTGCGTTCCATCAGAACACAGAAATGTTACCCATAAAGGCGAATATTTGTAGCTCGGGGTTGACATGAGGGGTGCTTGGTGTTCCCCGAGTTTGCTTTCTTTCTTGCAGATGTTTCATTACCCGAACTACAGTGCTAGTCATCAGCTACAGTCCACGAACAGTGTAACCTTCCCCTATATTAAAGACATCTCGGAAACAACCAACTGATGAGTACAACCATTTGGCATCTTTGTGGCACACAAGCCATCTAAAATCCTCCAAAACATCTTAAACAAAGCAAAGGACCCAAAGAAGAGCAAATAGAAGTCGTCGACAACATACAATGTAACAGCCACAATGTAGGACAGGCAGGCGGAAGACAAGCAAAGCACGTCCACCAACACCAATGAACAGTCAGAAGAAATGACGAGAACTCCTTAATCTTGTGAAAAATGGACAGACTCGGTGACAATTTTGACTGGGACACTGTTCGCATTTTAGATCAAGCCAAATCCAAACATGGTAGGCAATTCTCAGAAGCTACAAATCAGCCATCAACAGAGACAGAGAGATAAACACATTTACCAACCATTCAAAAAAGGCAATAAATAGCCCTAGGAAGGAAACAAAGATTAGAACATCTCCCCCTTCTGCAGCCAGTAGTCAGATAAGCAGGGATCAGCACCAGACAAACAATCAGGTAGAAAACAATACTCTAATCAAAGAGTAGCCAAGGAAGAAACTACACTCCCACCAAAACTGGTAAGGAAAGCTACTATATCTACACAGGCAGCAAACCCCACTGTCCCCTGTACTGATGATGTTGCCTAGCTGGGTAATGAAACATCTGCAAGCAAACAACCAAGAACAGAGAACATCAAGAATTCCAAAACCCTTGAGAATGCCATGGATAGCCAAGAAATCAAACAAACAGACCATATAACAAATCAATTCAAAGTTGTCACTTTAAGACCGAAATGAATCAAATTATCAAATTCTGGTCACATTATCTGAGATGTCCATGATGACAGGAAAGGTGAAAAGAAAGGGAAGAAGACAACAATCAGCAGCAAACTAGATGGGATTAATTACATCAATGATGGGTGCACTGTTGAAAGATTGGAAAAGCCAAGTTGAGAAATGGTTACGTCATCCTGGTGAACCTTTATTTATGTGATTTTTAAGAGTCGTCAGTGAACTGATGGCTCATAATCAACCAACCAACCAACCAACCAACCAACCAACCAACCAACCATCCATCCATCCATCCATCCATCCATGCATCAATCAATCAATCATTTTTGCCATGGATTATGACTTTGATTCATTCTAGCCTTATCGACATAGCATATTTCACCTACTCAACTGTTTATCGAGTTCAATTTCTGTTGTGGTAGTTCTTGCAGCATACAATCAAATAACCTCTGGCAAGCATCACTATTTTTGTAAAACAAAATACTCATGCCCTTCCTGACAGCCAGCACAATAGTGGCAAAGCCTCATCATATCTCTAAAACCTTCAGAAACCAGAAGGTATGACCTGGGCACTATCCATGTTTGGGAGACATGATCTGTGCTGCAACAATCTGAGAGCAAGTTGTGTAATGGAGAACCTTGTTTTTCCACTTTAAATCTCTAAACTTAACCTTGGAAGACAAGAGAGCACATTCCAAGCCTGGATAGGAAACAGAGGAAGAAAGTAAAGATAGTCACTCCTTAGAATCATCCTGGGTATATCTGTTAGGGCTGTAGGGAGCAGTAAGAGTTTAGTCTGGCAAGATTCTGTTGCTGTGCATAAGCAAATAAAGAACTAAACTCTGCTGAATTGTTCCACGTTGTTTTGGGCTGAGCTGGACACAGAGTTTGTAAACCATTTGACGTGGTTATATACTCTTTGCAGTCCACAGTTAACAGGTGAAGGTAATTTAATTGAAAACAAACTTGGAATTTTTTAAATTTAAAACTAACTCCCTTCTAACTCACTGCTGTAAAAACAATAAAAAAAGATTAAATTTTTTTGGATCCTTGCATCAAATAATAAAATCGGCTTTCCTTCTGCTGGATAATTTTATCTTTTCTACTTACAATGAGCCTAAGATAAGT